ACCACTGAGAGCCCCACCAGGCCACCCACGCCCAGCAGGATGCAGTTGTAGTTCATGCCCAGGACCAGGAACCTCCAAACCATCCCCTACAGCTTACCTCTAGGATGTTGCATGGAGCCTTAAAGCGAGGCAATGTTACTACCTAGCCTAGCAGCAGGGAACTGCCCTGTTTATATGGGCGGCCTAAGATTTAAAATGGCCACCGCAATCAATCACCTGCTGGCTGCTTGGCTCCGCTCTTAAAGTGGCAGGCACCAACAGTGCCTTGCCATACACCTTCTCCCTTAAAATAGTTCCTGGGGGAGGTTTCCTTTGCTGCTCCTCTAAAGCAGGCTTTCCTCAGAGCCTATGAGAGTCCCCAAGTAACAAGCACCCCAAAGGTGCTCCACCACATACTGGCTTTGATGTACCCTGATAGAAAAGTACTAGAGTGGAAAGGAATGAGGTTTTACAAAGCTCCATGAAGCTTATTCCTTTAGACATGCTCAACTTTGTGTCTGGAAATATAAATTTGTGTGCCAAGTCTTTTCCTAGTGCTCCCATATTCTCATTTATTTTCCTCAGTGTTTATAACAGAAACTGATGGATGGAATATTGTGTATGAATTTAGTAGCACTTTAAGACCACCCCTTTCCAGAGCTGTTAATGCAACATGGGAAACTCTGAAATTCCTTCTGCTGTCAAGGCTGTCTATCTATGCTGAAGAAATTCCACATAATGTTTCTAATCCAGTAAGGACATTTGTATTTAAAAGTGCAGGATAACTACAATCAGCTAACATATTTTCAAATATACAAGCAAGCATTTGTTCCCACTAGAGCAAAAATTATGTAATGTCATGCTGGTTAGAACATGTTTATTAACAAGTTTTCTAAAATGGTGTCTTTTGCCATCTAATGCATAAAATATTATAGAAATCATTTTATTTCTATAGCTTACTGTGACATCTTGCGCCCTTCTGGCAGCCCGGCCTGTCGGGGTGTGGCCCCTCCCCTCAACTCTCCTGCCATGACTTTGATGTTAAAACTTACTATGAGAGGGGTCTTCAGTGGAGATCTTTCCTGGGGGGGCCCTCACGATGGACAGCGGTACCTACAATCGTAGGGCACAATGTTCCACAGGGCTCCACCTCCCCTACACCCCATCCACTCGCCGACTGGTTGGATATGTGTTGACGATGGTCTCTGGCTCTGTAGGACGGCCGAGGGCCTGTCTACCTGGGTCCAGTCACTCTTCCTCCCCTCTCGGGGTTCGTTTTATTTCAAAGAAAATATTCCCCTGAGTAGAAGGGGGTTACAGGGCTGCCTCCCTTATCCCTGCCTGCTCTAGGGGTCTCAGATGCCTCTTCCCTCCTACTGTACGCAGGGAGCTCCCCTGCCTCCTTGGTCTCAGCTTCTTCCGGGGGCTGTGGGGTTGCCCCTGCTTTGCCTCCCGTAGGAGTCTTAAAGCTCTCCCTAGTGCTGCCTGCGAGAGCCACGCAGGCTGGGTTGCTTCCTCCCTGTGCCAGAGCCCACCTAATGAGCTGCCGGCCCGCTTTCTCTCTCTCTGGCTCTTCCTCTGACCCAGATCCGGTGGGGCTTTTAAACTTTCCCGCGGCGGCTGGTACGGCCGCTGGGATTGGCTCAGCTGTTTCCCACACCAGAAACAGCTGATTAAACAGCTGGCGTAATGCCGGTTCGTGCGCCCCCGGGTGCGGCTCCTGCTCTGGCTGCCCTGTGGGAGGTGAGTTAGCTCTGCCGAGGGGCTCCTCCCGGGGTATGGGGACCGCAGGGTTCACTCTCTCCCCTTCAGGAGCCTGTGGCGGTGTCTCGCCGCCACACTTACATTTTTGCCTTTTGCCTCCTTTGTTTCCAATTACTAGCACTGTTTCCATGATAACAAGATTGTTGTGCCTTCAAGGCTTCTCTGTCCTCACTGTTTCTTTCTGAATTCCTATATAATGTTACAACTCTCAGTTTGTGCTATTATAATATCCACAGTGGAAAGCTCTGAGAACGTGGCAACTTCTGATGATTTACTTAGTGTACAAGGTGCAAATCTACCCTGCCTGGTCTTCAGACCAACACAGCTAACTACCTCTCTCAACTTCTGATGAGACAGCAGGAGAAAACAAATGTCCATGGAAAACAATGCTGTCATAAGCAAAGCTTCTTTGTATCATTGAGGAGGGTAAGAAATTAAATACATACATTGCATAGGAAGAAGCGTTTATAAATAGAAAGCTTCTCATTTTTTCCAAGAGTTATCACTACGTAGAACACAGTTCAGAGATACTGGCATAATGCGGGGTGCATTATGGCACCTTATATCACAGAGGCCCCTTATGATCCAGGAATTCCGATATTACAACAATGCCTGAGACAATAAAGGTTAAAGTCTACCTACTCTAGATAGATAGCACCTTTCCCCAGACAATGATTCTGCTGTTAGATTGCCCCAGCTTTTCCACTGTGTTTCTAATGTGATTGCATTCTGGTAATGGGCAGGGTTTCCATTCAGGCAAAGGCTCCACTAAACCTCTCTTGGTAGTAATTGCTGAGAGGAAGTACTGAATTCATGTGTTTCTTGGCTGTCCTGGCCATGCCCTCACCTGTTCCTACTTTTGGGGCTATTCTTTTGCCCTGCCATTTCTGCTAGCATGCTGGATGAATCTGGTCACTTTCTGAACAGCAATCACCATCTAAATGGATGGGTATGTCCCAGGCCCCCACTACCCTCACTGCAAAGCCCAAAATTGTGCCCATATTATATCTGTTCTCTTTTCTATCACATCATGGAAAGTAGTCATGGAAGTACATCAGAAAAGATAATATTACTTTCCTTTTATTCTTCCTTAAAAGGCATTGGAAATCAATCTGATTTCAGAAGACTGAAGGATTACTGAGCTTAATCCTCCTTAAACTGCAAGGAAGAGTGATACTGTATTTTTCTTTTGTTAATCCCAAAGAACATAATTAATTAATTGGGATACTATGCTAGTCCCATATTTCACATGTCACTGACTAGTATCACGTGTGCCTTCTTAAAATAAAGAGATGAAAGTACAGTGCAAAGATGCACCAAACACTAATTACCTTCAGGGATTTGGGGGAAGGGGGATGGACGGTGGAGCTGGGAGCAGAAAAATTATCAGGATCTGGACTGCAGAGGGGGATATCATGTCTCTACACTTAAGACTGAAGCAAAGCTCTTGGAGTAGGCAGATTGCTCTGCATCACCTAACTTAGAAAGGAAACAAAATTCAGCAGATTTAGGTGTACGTTAGGATAAAAGTATTTGAATCTTGGGGAGCATTGGATTTGCAGCTGAATAAAAGGCTATAACCTGTGGCCTAGAAAGCTGCTAACCACAAGGCAGAACAGTATGTTAAAAGTAACATTGCAAGGCGCTTAGGCAAGCACTTTCCTAACAATATAGTATTGTTATAAGATATATAGCTCATTGTGTAAGAAGAACAGGATACGGACCACCAGCTATCATTAGGAGATAAAGCAGAAGTAAGACCTTGGAGATGGTGAAGTAATCAGCAAGAGACTGAAAGTGACCAAGAGAAGCAGGAGTCAGGGTCTTAGGCCTGCACTCTTAGCAAAAAGACATGTAAATAAGTGAAATGCAGAGGTAATTCCATGCTAATTAAATATACAGTAAACAGAGGTGGAGCTTAAAATGGGAAGGAATAAGGGTTGAACAAAGGAGGGACAAAGGTGGGGTAAATGTTAATAAGCATAAACCAAAGTGTGTAAATATAGAAAGAACTAATGGTCGCTGCGGCTTCCCGGTTTGTTGGGGCTATCCCGAATCTGTCTCCATTTTGAATAAAGCTGTTGGAAGAAGCAATGTGTGCACTGTTCCGTTGTCTCCCTAGTCGCTGGGCATCTCATGGAGTTGAGGCCTAACAGTGTACACCACACAACTGAATTTTGAATTAAAGGACAAAATCCTCATCTCTCATTTCAGCTGCTTTGCATCAGGAATAAGAGAAATCCCAGCAAACCTCCATGCCACTCAATTCCAGTGCTCCCAGTGTAGGGGGAGACTGTGGAAAGGATGTGGCATGGCTAAAACACCTTGCCTAGGTAGCACAATAGTTTCCAGAGCACTGTAAGTATCAAACATCATTTAGGGTGGCTGCTCAAAATTATACTGCATGAGAAAGGTCATTTGGGACCAGCTTTATCTCCCATTCCTTTTGGGTTCTCTACCAAGTACGGCTCACTTGATCAAAGGGTTCTGGCCCATGCAGCACTAAATCCAATGTTGTAAATTCCATTATTTAAAAACAATTGTTCTGGTTTTATTGGTTGGCTTTCTTGCACTGATTTGTCTAACTACTCACTCCTGAACTGTCCACTTCTTTCTGTCTCCATAAGGAACAACACCTTTCATTACAGCCTCCACCCCAATGTACTGGCTGTGTGTGATACTCTTCCCATCCACTATCAAGTACGTATTCTCTTTGGCAAAGCTATATGAATACTGTTTTGATATGTATTATTTTTATATGCACATTCATACATTTTGTTATCCTGTGAAGGTACATCTCCAGATGCAAGAACAGTGGTGATGCATATTTCAAATGACAAATACAGCAATGGCCCCATTTGTGTATTTAGATGATAAGAAGCCAGTGTACAGGGTATTTCAACTTTCATATTTCATAATGTAAGGTTAGGCATTAGGAGTCAATTTCCCTAAAAGATGTGCACAACTATTGTCTTTTAAGGGGATTTTACACTTACATAAGAAGGAGCTGGTATTGGCCACTGTCAGAGGCAAGATATCAGGGTAAATAGGCCAGTGATCTGATGTGTTGTGGCAATTCCTATATTTCTATCATGTGAAAGTAAAGAAAAAGTTTGCATGAGACCCGTAAAGCTGAATCCACAGAGCTTCATGCCTCTCTGCACAGAGGTACGGGTATACTAAGAAACCCCGGTAGAAAGGTAGAGATAATACAGCACCCCATATCTGTTCACCATAAGGACTGAGTCACTTCTCACCTGCAACTTGGCAGATAATGGTAACATTTGCTCCCTGGATTGTTTTCACTGTGCTTCCAATGTCAGCAGTAACAGCAGGCAAGTCTGTGTTGATCACAATAGCTCTTGATGCCTTTATCAGTGGTTTTCCTGTGTAAAAGAAAAATGGCAGTTCACAAAGTAAAGTACTCAACTTGTCACAAGGGGCAGGCTCTAAACAACATGTTTGGCATGAAAGCAGAAGTAGACATTATAGGACAGGTGTTCACCAGTGGGTGATGCTGGTGGATGGAGCCACCTGCTCCTGGACTCTATGATATCATGAAGGAGTTGCTTGATTCCGTAGTTAAAGCTGCTTTGGAAAAAAAAAACTTAAATCAGAGACAGAATAGTATTAAAGTCAAGCCAGCACATATGAGAATCAGCTGAAACAATAAACAGCAATGCAACTGGAGCTGCAGCAAGCTGTTTGCCTTGATTCTGCAAGCCAGACACTACTCTTTGCCAAGGGCCAAACACAGGACAATGATCCCAAATGACGGATACCAGCACTGTAGCTTTGCTGGAGACTTCTAGCCACATGCGATCCACTTCCTTAGCATCTGCCATGTTTTCCATAATCTCAGGTTTAGGTTTTAGAGTTAGTGCAGGAAATAACTGACAGTAACAGAAAGAAGATGGCATCAGTATTGTGAGAAAGCAGGGTAACCTTGTACCTGAAGTGAGGGACAAAGCATTTGTCCCTATTGACCACCCTGCTATTTGAATTCAACTTGAGGATTATGTGCATGGACTTTAATAAAAATTCTGATAAAGTCCCATGCAACAGTCTGATAAATGACTTGGAGAAACATGGGCTAGAAATGTTGAAAACCAAAAGCAGTGGGATAGACTTCCCAGGGGAGTTGTGGAATCCCCTTCATCAGAGGTTTTCAAAGGTGACTGGTTAAGCATTTGTCAGGGATGGTTTAGGAGTAGCTCCCTGCAATCATGAAGGAAGTTTGCCACCTACTGAGGTTCTTTCCATCCCTTTGCTTTTCTATTCCATGCATGCTAGTCTAAGATACCTTCAGCCTGATTGGGTGATGACACCCTTAATGCAAACAGCAGGCATCTAGAAGGAGAGAGAAAAGGGCAGGATTCACAGCAAGCCCAGCACTCAGGTAGCTAAGCCCAGCTGAGACTCAAGGCACATCTACACTTGAATTGGGTCATGGTAGACAATGGCTCTGTTAAACATATACTTCTCACACTCCACATACTGAAAGAAATGCCCAGGGTGCATCCAGCACCATTATCAGTCTTGGGCCTGCTTCAGTGTCCCTCATCATGATGAACAGGGAAGGGTTACCTTCCTCAGAGATACTGTCTTATTAGGTTGCCCGCAGGCTCAGGCAGGAAGACCTTACCTACCTCAGTGACATTCAAACCATGTTCTTGATTTTACCTTCACTAACATAAAAGCTAGAAACAAATTTGTTTTTAATGAAAGCTTAGATTTTGATGTCATCATGTGACTCCAGACAGCAGGTATCTAGAGTACCAATGACTTAATCTGGCTATAAATCTGCAGTGATAGCAGAGTGGGACACATTTAGATAGTGTGGGTAAAGGGAAGACAGAGAGAGAGGGAAAAAAATTAAACTTGTTTTGATTGGACAATTGCAATTTTGGAAATCTGATTTTGTGACCAGTCTCCTTCAGTTGTTCCTAATTAAAACTTCCATGTGGATCTGTAGTACTTCCCGAACTGCTAAAAGGCACATTTTATATTGAAACATTACTGTATTAATCTAGATGCCTATGGTGTATCATCTATGGGTAATATGAAGGAAGAAACATTTCACTTGACAGAAGTGCTTGCAAAGTTTGTATCTTTTACTGTAGCAACTAAATCATAAAAGGCAAGAAACCACAAATGTCAACTAACTTTTTATGTTCCCAGTGGGATTTCCATCATCACATTAAAATTGGTTAATTGTTTATCCAATAAAGAGTAGCAAATCACTCCAAAAACTGGAAGTGTATTTCTCCCCTCTCTGCATTTGCTAAACTAATCAGAAGGGCCAAGTGAAAAGTCCTTCATTTAAAATGAAATAATCCTTCCTCACATGTTCTAATTCCTCTAAAAACACCTTCAAGCTTTCAGTTCTTTTAGGAAAAGACCTGTTGTGTGCCAAAATAGTTTTGCTGACTCAATTTAAAACCTACACGTTATCTGAGCTCTGTAACTGTGGCCTCATTTTACAAGATGCTGAGAATCCTCAACTCCTGATGGGAGGAGATGTATAGTGCCTTGCAGGAGATCAGCACCAACCAAGAACAAGACCAGGAGGTTTGAGTTGTTATTAAGTTATGGAAAAATCAAGCTATCACCTCAATAATTACTTCTAAAAGAAGGGCTGATGGTATTTAAAGTCCAATGCTGAACATTGCATATGCCTTTCTACAGTCTGCAAATGATTTGTTTCCAGAAATCGCCTGGGACCTGAATGCTGATTTGACTGAAAAGGCTTCCAAACCCTAGGGATTCACTCATTAGGACAGTAAAGAAAGCAAAACTTGTTCATGTTGCCACTTCACAAAGTATGCAGTTTTAGAAATGAAAATTAAATCTATCTCCATGTGTAACTCCAGAGTTATATTCATATGAGCTTTGTGTGGTATTCATAGTATTGTACATATATTTTAGGGCTTTCCACAAGTTTTATAGTGGAATGACACCACTGAATTCAACAGAGATATTGGATCTAGATTTGCATTGATGTAAGTAGAATCACTCCCTTCGTTTTCTCACAATTCTCTTGTTTTTTTCCACTTTCCCCCCTTCCCCCAGTCAGGTTTTCATTTGCATTATCCTTTAAATGAACAAAGGATATTTAGTTTGGGGTAGAACTGAACCATTACTGGATAAATATAAACCAGAAAGCTAATCCTTCACAACCCTTTATTTGCCAGCAGTTGGAAGAATTTTGGCCACGCTTTGGTCATAACAGACAGACAGGATACAAGGCTTGATTCTGTAAGGTGCCAAGTGCATTGGCTCAAATCCAGCAAATACTTAATACTTGCTTAACTTTAACCAGCTGAACAGTCGCACTGACGTCAATGAAAACATTCAGATGTTTAAAGTAGCGTTCATACTTAATGGCTTTTCTGGATCATGATGAGGGCATTCAGCACCTGCAGGATGGATACAACAGCAACTAGAACCCCGTAAAATGCATTCCGTGTAAGGGTGGTGAAGAAATCCCCTTGTTAATTTGAAAATGCCAACTGTTAATACATGGACCATCTGTGCATGGAGCTAGGAGCCTGACCCTGGGACACGGTCTGATGGTTTTAGGTCTTGATTCAATATATCACTTTGCTCAATCCACCTAATTTTTTTCAGGTGTTCTTCTGGCTACCGGACAAACTGATGATGAAGCAAAGTTCAGGGATGATAGGGACTACAAGGGTAGACATGGTTGGGAATAACATTTGTGTCCATTTTCACATTTAATCTAATAGGTCCCATTTTATTTCTAACCATGAAGAGCAATGACACTCTGGAACACCTTTCCAATAGGTCTTAGATGGAATCTGATTATTTTATGAAAGGGATTATATGACAGGTTTATAGGGTTTGGGTTTAAGGGCCCAAGAGGTCCTACATAGTCCTATGATCCTGATTATGGATGTGAGGTGGGCATAGGAGCTATAGGGAGGGAGCTCTATTCGTTTTCAGTCTCTGTTTGGTAGAGCCAGAACTTATTTATTTTCAGACTATGATACAAGTCCTATCTTTCTTTCCAGTATTTTTTTCTGAGGGATACCTTGTTAGGTGGAGATCAGGGGAAAGATTATGCATTTTGGGGGCTACTTTGAAGAGTTTAATATTGTTTTTAGGACTTTGTTTTCCATTTTAGTTACCTGAGATCTGAACTTGACCTGTGGGCCAGATCTGGTCCCTGATGCCAGGTCATCCAGCCCACAAGGCTCCAAAATTTGGTGGCAGGGGAGCAGAGGCAGACCCATGGGGAGCCCTGTAGGCTGGAGAGCATGGCCTACACACAGGAGTGGCATGGGGCCCCAGGGGCCCATTCCAACATTCAGGGCCTGATTTGAGCACACAGGGGAGGTGTGGGACCCTGATCCCCCGATTCCAGTGTGCTGGGCTGGGGTGGTGTGAGGCCCTAGAGCCCAATCCCAGAATGCAGGGCATGATCTCAGCATGTGGGATTGTGTGGGGTTGGTGTGAGACCCTGTTCCTGGCACATGGGGGTGGTGCAGGGTCCAGTCCTAGTGTGCAAGGCCCAATCTGGCTCATGGACTACTGGCCTCACATCAGTCATCTGACCAATGGGGCCAAAAGGTTGAGCTAACTCATCTATACTTGGTTTGCAGGAATTTACGTGCAGCATAAAGAATTCTGAAATCACTGATAGTATCCTGTTACCTGCTAAAGTGACAGCAATGGAGACAGAATCAGATCCCAAGGCATTGGATGCATTACAAGTGTAGAAACCCACATCAGCTTCCACTGGGGCTAGAATCTGCAAGGAGTCATCAGGCTGAAGGAGTATCCTGGACAAGAGAGAAACAGAGGAGCAAAAGTCTCTTAGCTAGGCTATGATTTTAGAGTTTCTTTTAAATGTATATAGAATGACAGGTCATTTATTACACTTTGGGCCTTTGGAATTTAAGTAAATGAGGAAGTAAATGATTAAATGCAGGGTCAAATACCTTATGTAGCTACCATGGATTGCAATTACTTGCACATTAATTTTATTTTCAAGCCTACTGGTATATGTTGCATGTGAAACAGGAAGAATGTTTCAAGTTAAGATGCAAGCCTAAAATTTGGGAGGCACTGGCCTCTGCTTTGCCATAGACTTCTCACGTGACCTTGCTCAAATCACTCAGCCTCTCTGTATTGAGGTTCCCCAACCATAAAATAGGGATAATAGCATTGACTATTAGGTATGCTATGAGAATAAATGCATCAGAAATATGAGAGTTGCTCAGATACTATGGTAATAGAGGCCACAAACGTACCTAGAGTCATTAGTCATATATTATAGGGTAGGGTAGATCAGTTTAATACAAGAGGAATGGCATGTGAGAATAGCTAGCTAAACCTACCCATATGAACTTTAGAGTAATAAAGTAGGAAAATCTTTTTTAGTATATTTATCTTGGACAGTGTATCTTGTGACCCCACTCTTCTCCCCCCCGCAAAGAGAAATCCACAGCAGATTATGGCACTATGGATATTTTAAAATGGAGAATAGGTAAATAAATATCTCTTATTTTAAAGCAAAACCAGACGATCACTGAGCAGCAAGTTACAATTCCTTTCAATGTTCTACCTACGCAAAGCTTGAATGGTACCAGTCCTTCAGCGACCCAGTTCATAGGCAGAGAAGGACTGTAAGTTTATGGCCCTTGTTAGTAATGTCCACAAATACTTTATAACATTTTTGGGCTCTTCTTTATGATTCACATTTCAGAATAATTGCAAGAGAGGCTACAAATGATTTCCTCCATCTTCTAAAGACAGCACACTGTGCAGGAGTACAGGTTTTTATTCAGTCAAATATTAGTGACATCATGTGTTTGCTCTTTTGACCTATTTCAGAAAGCTGATGGAAAGTGGAGATAGTTAAGAGGCTCTCACCTTTGTTAAACTGATACAACCACTGCACTTAAAAAAAAAAAAGACATTTAGTTTTCAGGGAAATTATGCATTCCAGCTGGGTAGCTGTGTTCCTCATGTTAGGGGCAGGAAGTAATTCTCATATGGGCTATAGCTTTCCAAAAGTAACAACCTTCATAATTAACTAGTGCTGGCATTACAGTAATCATGCAAGGCTGTGACCAGAGGCATAATTGAGTACTGTGCCCCAAGCAATACTGTGCCTGCCCCGCCCTTTTTCCTTGCACCCCCTGCCTTCCCTGCTCCTCACCTCCCTGCACTATCCCTAAAGTGGTTCTGGCCCTGGCGCCAGCAGGGAGGGAAGAGCAGCAGCAGTGGCTGAAGGTTCACTGCTGCCAAGGGCAGATCTAGGGAGTGTGGCAGTGTGTCACAGCTCCCTTCTGCTGTGTGCCGCATGCACAATGAACTTTCTGAACTCACTGACATGTCAGTGCAGCTCCTGCCAGCAGTTCTGCATGTGCTGTGAGCTCTCTCAGCTCACCAGCTGGTCAGTGCAGGATCTGGCTGGAGCTGCTGCTTTCATGCAACTCTGGCACCCTGGAGGTGAGCACCATAGCTGCTTGCCCTTCCCCTCCCTCTGCCCCCACCCTGAATTCAGCATCAGGGGAAAGGAGGAGAAAGGCAGAGGAGCTCCATGAAAATGAGCTCAGCATTGCAGCCTCTTAGATTCATAGATGTTAGGGTCAGAAGGGACCTCAATAGAGCATCGAGTCCGACCCCCTGCATAGGCAGAAAAGTGTGCTGGGTTCAGATGACCCCAGCCAGATGCCTATCTAACCTCCTCTTGAAGACCCCCAGGGTAGGGGAGAGCACCACCTCCCTTGGGAGCCCATTCTAGATTTTGGCCACTTTAACTGTGAAGAAGTTCTTCCTGATGTCCAGTCTAAATCTGCTCTCTGCTAGCTTATGGCCATTATTTCATGTAACTTCCAGGGGCGCCTTGGTGAGTAGAGCCTCACCAATTCCCTTCTGTGCACCCATGATGAATTTATAGGCAGCCACAAGGTCGCCTCTCAATCTTCTCTTGCGAAGGCTGAAGAGGTCCAGGTGCCCTAGTGTCTCCTCATAGGGCTTGGCCTGCAAGCCCTTAACCATACGAGTGGCCTTTCTCTGGACCCTCTCCAGGTTATCCGCATCTCTCTTTTAAAGTGTGGCGCCCAAAACTGGACGCAGTATTCCAACTGCGGTCTCACCAGTGCCCGATAGAGGGGACATATCACCTCCTTGGTTCTGTTTGTCATGCATCTGCTGATGCATGATAAAGTGCAGTTAGCTTTGCTGATGACTTCGTCACACTAACGACTCATGTTCATCTTGAAGTCCATTAGGACTCCAAGATCCCTCTCTGCCCTGCCCTGCCCTGCCCTGCCCTGCCCTGCCTTGCCTTGCCTTGCCTTGCCTTGCCGAGAGCTCCTTCCTCTTGGGCTACTGGCAGGGGACTGCCTCTGGCCTCAGCCCCTAGGGTTTATAAGGGCCAGGCCCTGCCCCTCACAGTCAGCTGACCACTGGCAGGAGTGATTGCTTGTTAGCTCGGTTGCCCTGGCAACCAACAATTCACTCATTGCTACGGTCCCTTCCCTAGCAGTTTTTCCTTCTTAGGAGCAGGGCACCTAAGTGCTCTGCGACAGTTTGTAAATGTGCATTTCCCTAAGCAATTCCAAGACTTGGATGCACAAACTGAATATAATGATGATGATTGTTGATGATGATAGTAATAACAGTAATGATAATTATTATAAAAGTAATAATAATAGTAGTAATGATAATAATTATGATTGTTTTTAATGGCTAGAGGAAATCGAACTCCTCTCTTTTGTTTCCAAATAGATTTCACTGAGTGGCCTTAACCTGGCTTGTTTTAGTGTCACTATCCTATATCTCTAGCCTTGTGGTCCATGAGACAGAAGTTTTCATTCAGAGGGAGAAAAATCTCATCAACTCAGGATTTAAGACCATATATCTTGGATGGATTTTTTTCTTCTACCTTTCTTTTCATTCCCCCACCCTCACCCTGTCTCTCTCAGTCACTATCCTGGCTAAGGGCTTTACACAGAATAGCTGCTAAAAGTTGCTGGTGAGAAAAACATATTTGTCAATAGGTTTTGACAATTTTACATAGTTTTTACCAAGAATTAATGAAGATAGGTTATATATTCCTAGCATAAGAGAATATATCTAGTGTGGCATTTGACCACAGGAATGTTGATTGAACTCTGAGGATCATATTCTGCTTTAACATATGCAGTTAGGTGTAAATCAGGAGTCAGCTGAGTTACTGTTGTAAAACTAGTTTGAGTGAGAGCCCAATTAGGCTCTAAGTTTGTCCAATGGTTGCACAGTCTTGGTGAGCAGACCAGGAGTCTAGTGACCTGAATTCTAGTCCCAGCTGGGTGATGATGGCCACTTGCTGCATTTCTCTGTGCCCTGGCATAATAGCTCTTATGATTTTTCATTACTCTTCTGATATTAGATGTTTTTCTCTTAAAGCCCTGGTCTCCAGATTGAGAGAGAATCTCATTTTTCATTATAAATGAATAGGCAGGTTCTAACCCTCCTAATTTCAGAGAATGGCTTGCAAATTGCTTGAAAAAAAGAAGGGGGAAAGAACTCACTTGTTTTAAAACCTTATGATTTTAACTTAATCTTATGGTGAAAGGGGGAGGGGGAAAGAAGGTAAGTAATTATTGATGTTTTGAACACTCGCAGTTGATGATAATAATGATGTCTCACTTCATCTGTTAAGACTGTGAGCTTGTTATACTAGCAACTGTCTCTGTTTGGATTTGTAAAATGCCTCACAGAAGCCTCAAACGCAGCTGTGGGCAGTAGCATGATCATGAGTAGGTGAGCAGGGCATGAGTCCTGCCTGCTGCCTATGGAAGGGAGGTGCTGGAACAGAGCTAGGGGGACTTGTTCTTCTGTCCTTCCCTTTCAACCTCACCCCAGCATCCTCACATCTTACCTTCAGGCATTAGGGAAGGCAGGGAAGTGGCAGTGGCACAGAAGCAGAGGGAGATATCACCTTCTTTGTTTTTATAGCTAAAAACCAGTGGGGTTTTTAGCCACACAACATGCATGTCGACAGTCAGAAAGGAGTGATATTTCCCCCAGAAGCTGCTATCAGTGGATCCAGGATCATGATTAGAGGGAAGAGAGCTCAGTGTGCATGTGTAACATGCCAAAGCAGGTGTGACTACACCCCCATCTGTGATGCTGGATGCCAGTGAGCTCTCTGAGCTCACCAGCTGGTCAGTGTGAGGTCTGGTCAGAGCCATTGCTTTCTCACAGTTCTGGATCTGAGAAAATGAGTACTGCTACTGTTTACCCTTCCTCTCCCTCCTCCTCTCCAAATTCAGCAGCAGGGGATAAGAAGACAAACAGGGGAAAAAAGACTTTTACCTTTCACTGAGAGGTGAAGTCCATTGCATCCCAGGAAGTCCCTTGCCAGGAAGTGTGGGTCGTGGTCCAGGAAGCCAAATCCTGCACGATGGTACCAACTCCTGAGCCGCAGGTTGACCTCTCTGGAGTTGGTGCCATCGTGCAAGATTTGGCTTCCTGGACCACGGCCCACACTTCCTGGCAAGGGACTTCCTGGGACACAATGGACTTCACCTCTCAGTGAAAGGTAAAAGTCTTTTTTCCCCTGTTTGTCTTCTTATCCCCTGCTGCTGAATTTGGAGAGGAGGAGGGAGAGGAAGGGTAAACAGTAGCAGTACTCATTTTCTCAGATCCAGAACTGTGAGAAAGCAATGGCTCTGACCAGACCTCACACTGACCAGCTGGTGAGCTCAGAGAGCTCACTGGCATCCAGCATCACAGATGGGGGTGTAGTCACACCTGCTTTGGCATGTTACACATGCACACTGAG